GGCTGCAGTTTTTTCATCCGTCCTTATCTGGTGAGAACGACAAACGAATCTCTTCATCATGTACTTTCATTCGAAATGAAAGTCCCCCTAACAACGCTTAAATGTAATACGACAACCTCCAATGTCTCGGGCGAAGAAGGGGTGAGTTTTTGTTTGTCATATGACCAACATCGTCAGAGCTGGAAAGCATTTTTGTAAAAGCCTCAAGATAACACTAAGTCAAAAAAGTGTTTGGTGAAACGCTTGGAAGGTTGATCCCGACAGAATACGATGTCTTGACCAGCTGTCGATCAGCTTTGTTAGAACATTCTTGTTGACGCTGCTTAAGAGACAATCTCCTGCGAATCCGACGAAAGCATGCTAAGCCTTCGTCCGTCGTTTGGCTGAGATTATCACAACAGATGAATTTCAATTCATCTCATCTCTTCATAAAGACCGTTCTCATCCAGATTTGATGGCAAATATAAAAACGACTGAGGTAGTGCTATTAGGTACCATTTAATTTGCTGTGAAGACTTTCATTTCGTCTGCAAGTTCATGATGTCGAACTCACTAGCAAACGACATCTGATTTCCGTTGTATTGATGTAGCTTGGTTTTAATACGACATTAAATAGAATGGTCTCAAATGATGCAGCAGTTTGTATATTTGATATGAAACGCAAGCTAGAAGAGACTAATTGAATTAATAAATTATAGATATATATGCTCTACTGGTAGTCCCGAAATCCTACTTATTAACGAAAAATAAGTAGCATAATAGATTACTATAACAAATACAACATAATGTGATATGGAAAAATGCCTATCCTTCGTTGGAATTAACATCTGCCCTTCGATCTAAGAGAACTCATGACAACGTAGCGTATTTATTAACATGTCGAGATTTTACGCTGCACAAGCCTAGTTCGAGTCCCGTCGGTAGTGCTGGCGAGACCATTTAAGAAAGTTCAAAGTGCAATTTACTGCAGCTAAGATGTGAATAACTTTTGGTAAAGCAAGGGTGTGTGAAATTTAATGGAAAGTTAAGGTCTACTGACACAATCGTAAATATATCTTATGCTCGATTGAAAGATTGAGGGGGAGAGAGCGGGTTGAGCCGCCGTCCAAATGAAGGCGATCCAACCTACCAGCTGTGCGATGCTTCTATTCAAATTCTGTCTCGTTTAACAGACATGCCCAACTCAATATGCAAAATAAACTTGTGAGATTACCCAATCACACAAATTACTCTGAGTTATGGCCAGTTTTGCATACAGACGCAAAAACATCACACATAGATAGACAGACTAGAGTATAATTCTATGCTAAATCTATTCATAGCTAAATATGTTTTTGTTATGAGCATATATTGAGCATGTACTGTCAGGTCTGGTCAGTTTTCTTGAATTAGTGTTAACTTGAGACTTTTGCAAGGATGATCTCTAGATCTGAAGATGTTCGTTATACGAAGGAAGAAAGCTAGTCCCATGCTTACCCAAAACGAGTGGGCTTTTTCAACTTGAACGTCGTATTAAAGCCGAAATGCTGCAGTACAACGGGAATCAGCCGTAGTCTTATGATGAGGCCGACCTTCCAACCTTTTCCTCATCCCATTTCATACGAAATTTGAATTTATACAATAATCGTATCTCAGTAAATTTATCAAAACTAGTTTTTCCTTCATACATATAAAGTATTTGAATTCCCAAAAATTGTGAAAGTTGGTTGTTCTCCTTATGCTCTGTATTTTAATTCTTCATCTTTCCATCTCTTATTTGCCTCTTCTTTAACATTTTCGTAGTCTTGCATATTGTTGCATATGAGAATTATTCACCTTATTTCGTCGGAGGTAATGAGGGACTGGTAATTGAATTTTGTCCGCAATGATGTCAGTAGACCTCTCGTTTCCATTGAATTTCACATAGCCTTGCTTTCCAAACGGTATTCCTATCCAATTTTGCCAAGGTCTCTTCAGCACATCTAATCAATATGATCTTATGGTAGTCTCGAAAAACTACTTACAAACGAAAATACGCAATTTAGTCAATTGCTATTGCAAATAAAACTTTGCTTCATCGACACTCCCACCACAGAAAGTGATATGGGCAACACCTGGTCTTCTATGAAATTCACGACTGATCTGTGACCTAACGGCACTCGTGGCAGTGTGGCATGGCGGTTAACCTGTCGAGACTATATAACGCACTACCAAAAGCCAGGTCCGAGTCCCGCTAGGGGTGCTGATGAGGCCAGATGAGGTGAGGTCGAAACGGTAGTCCATTCCGGCCTGGAGTAGACAACCTTTCAGGAAGCAAGACATTGTGAAGGTAAAGGAATTTTGAGGCCTTCTAACATTGTGAGCAAATTTACCTATTTTATCACCTCAAACGATATTGGTTGAATACATCTAATTTAATAAAACTACGTTTATTGAGCTGAATTCGAAGAATATTTGGTTTTCATGGAATATCTTAATCTATCATTGTTATGAGTTCAATTGTGTGTGATGAAATGGTTTCAAAAGCAAACTCACCAGAAGATGACAGCAAATTCCTCTTGGCCAGCTGTCTATTGGCAATATCCTTCGATTTCAGTAACTACGTGCCAAGCATTCCTTCGCCATATGAAGGACATCAACAGTTTAGGGATTCATTCTTGCAGTCATATTCGCACTAACGAGTCAATTAAGCTAACTTACCTCATTCCAATAACCGAATCATTCTATCGTGTCAAATGATGAGGAGCTCTCGGGCGTATTAAAAAAATCCCATTGTCTTGCGGTTAACTCAATCAACAAGTGGGTTAACCTCGTTGTCGCAACTTGATCTTGTCGTCAGGGCGACTTAGTAGAACGCTCCTTGTCTGAAGTCCTCTGCCATAGTAGTTGTCATAATTCCCACCAGCAGACCTTGAATTTGGTACATTCGCAAACGTTGCGCCGGCATCGTAGTCGGCATCATCAGTGAGTGCTGCCATTCTTCACACCAAGCTACGAACTCGTCAAAGAGACAAGTCAAGTCAATCTCTCGAGAATGTTTGGTCTGCTCCATCCACTGAGCAGAGGAGATTCATTGAACTGAGGTAGTCTTCGTGATTAAATCCTTCAATCTCGGCAAGCCCGTGCGCAGCTAATCACCATAAAACGCAGAATCAAATAATTGTTGTTATGTTAATATTGTCTTGGCTGCCCACAATTTATCAGATTCCGTCAGCTCTTGCAGCCTATGGGAGGACTGTAGGGAAGTAGAAAGCTTTGGTAATATTGTATTTGAGCTTTGATACCCAATACAATACCCAGCATCGGTATCGTGTCTCAGAACGAGAGGATAAAGAAGCTAAAGGAAGGGCGTCAAGACGATCTGAGGGGTCTACCTTTTTTCTCTTTTGTGATCTTAGTCTAGGGGTTGTCACCATTTTCAGGGCACACTTAAGACCTGCGTCATCTCTTCTAGAATGCCACAAGAAACACCTCCATATTTAATAGGAACTAAGTCAACCTGGGTCAACTAAGGTGATTCCAGAACAAATGGGAGAGAATTTCATAAAATGTTATGAATAGTGGTGTTGAGTAAGTGGGTATCGATGAAGCTTCCAACATAAGATTGTTAGCGAGACTGTTTTTTCGTATGGAGGTCCATGAAGAAGCGATTCGACGTTTGATTTCACCAGAAGACGACGGTTGATTCCCGTTGTACTGTAGCCGTTCAGGTTGACGCAGTCCACGAGATATCCTGCCTCGTTTCGGGTGAAAATAAGCTCAGCTTTCGTCCAACATATGATAGAAATCATAAGAACTGGAACTTATTGTTGTAAAAGTTTCAAGTTAACACAAGGTTAGGAAGACTGTCCGGCTATATTTTACTTTTTATACATCCTCAACTAAAAAAATGATAATTTGTAAGAATATATAGATATAGAATGGTTTGGTTGATTAACTTTTCCATTGATGATGCTACTTTAGCTCGAATGTATGTGTGCAAGTGTGTGTGCATTCAGGTGCATGTGTGTGCGTGTGTGAGTGTGAGTATGTGTATGTATGTGCTTGTATTAACGTCTATACGCGATGCGGTTCAAAATCAAAGTGATCGCAAATGACTAATGTTGAGCTCTAGTCATCAAAGTTTAATGACCCAAGGAAAAGTCCTTGGATCCGCGACTGGAAATAGCAGAAACTGGACATGAAATAGAATGGTCTCAAACTAGTCGGTTTGCTGATTATGCTACGTCTGCTGTTAAAAGGAGGACAAAAGAGGGCTATTCCAACTGATAGGAAATAAGGAATACGTTGAATGTGAGGAACGCTGGTAGACAGTTGAGTAAGAATTACTTATGCCTAATTGATAGACTAAAGGAGAGAGAGAGAGGGCGTGGAGTAACCATCCAAAAGAAGGCTACTCAAACTGGTCATTAGGGGTTAAAACTTCACTCCCACTAGTGGTCCAACATGTTAGATTAAGCTAATCAAAACCCAACTTTTCTTCTAATCAAATAAACCAGAGGTACAAAATTACACATTACGTATAAACAGTAGCCCACACACACACACATACACACACATACACATGTAAAAGATAATTAGCCAAACCATCCTATTTCTATCAATGTCTATAATTATTCGTTTTTGAGTTGAGTCAATAAGATAGAGCCGGACAGTATTCTTAACCTTGTCCTAACTTGTAACTTTTACAAGAATAAGTTTCAGTTCTGATGATGTTCATCATATGATGGGCTGAAGCCGAGTCAGTTTTCACCCCGAACTGGGGAGGATGTCTGGTGGACGGCGTCAATCTGAATGTCGTATTTAATCCAAACGACGGCAGTGTAACAAGAGTCACTCGTTGTCTTCTGTTGGGATCAACCTTTGAATCTCACCTTTATGCACTTTTATACAAAATAAAAGTCTCATAATAATGCCAAGTAGTTGTCAAAACGATGGTATACAATATCATCCATAAAGCAATTCTACAAAAGTTTTCCCATCTTTCCATTTTCCTTTTGCCAGACACAATCACCTCTTTCATGGAGGCCTCTTACAACAGATCTATTGAACGTCTGCTCGCTTCCTCCAGTTCGTCTAACTCAGTCGGTGAGACAGGAAGTAGGATTTCGGATTCTCTGCTCCAGTGGCTGCGTCGGCAGACTTCAATCGGTGCCTCTCAACACTACCCAGCCTCACCGTCATCATCATTCGACTCTTTCGGACGCCTCCAAGCTTTGGATTCGTCTACAGTTCACACTCATACTTCCATCCCCACCAAGAACGCTGCCATAGACATTGTCACGGATCGTTCGTTTCCAAGCTACGCTGACAAAGTTGGGAGTGGCAGGGAGGCCAACACTGACGTCACTTTAACGGCCTCCTACTGGAGAGGGCATGAGAGTAACCAGATTTCCTGTGCAGAAGATAACGTGTTTCGAGCAATTTCTGAGGTCATGGTGCAGCTCAGCTGCAGCCATTCCAACCCTGACGTCCACTCAGTGCTGGGTCCGATTGAGCTGACCTCTAGTTTTTACAGAAGACCCAGGTAAACTGCGAATGTTTTTGCTACACTAACAATGGCAATATATCTTCTGTAATAATTCTGATTATAATATTTTTAATAGATCTTTTTCGTTATACCCTAACTATATCTCCCAATCATTTTACCTTACGTCGTCTGCCCAGACTCCAACCTACTAACTACTGTTAATTTTGCATTTGCCTAATGAAAAAGCACTGGCCTGTCTTCAGTCGATCGACCAAACTTTTACTTCCCTCATTCTCAACTCATCAGT